ATTAAAAGTTTATATATTAGACGACAATTCATACAGTATTCTCCCGCGCCAGCCTCACCTTCGGGCGGAGCTGAAACCCTCGCAGGGCTCCTTGGGAAAAAAGGTTGGGAACCCCTGGTTTAGACACTCATCATTTTGCACATACATATCGGCCTATATTATGTTTATTTCTTTGTTTTATCAATTTAATTATTATTCTAATTTGCATTTTAATTTAATTAAATCTATATTTCCTGTCTGTATTATGTTCAGCCATTTGCCTGTCCTTTGAGATCATGGGAGTTTGTCATTGGATTCTGCTTCTCTTGGTTCATTGGTTCAGGAGATCTTAACCAGATGCCATTTTATCCACAGAGGTATCCTCATTTCCAAAATGAACAGACCTGGTAATTGAAACAGTGAAAATAATAAATGAAGCAGGTTCAAGTTAGAAATCAGTGTTTCTGTTACGTTGTTTGGCTGAATCTTAACAGATGTCTTTAGGTTTGAAACAGATATTGAAAGGAGACACTTCAACAAAATATACAACATTGGTCTAGTTGTTATTAGAACTTCTTAATGTGGAAATGTAACATTTCACACCACTTCATGCAAATCGGGTTCAAATGTAGATCAGGCAAGCAACAAATATTCCAGCAAACCACCAAATTTGAGCTTGACTTCCAGATAAGCCTCTGTTTATGAAGGAGCTCTGAGGTACTAAACACATTTGTTCCTGTTAGTCATCATGTTTACTTCTTCACATACTGGCAGCAATGACTTCACACACACTGGTGGACTAATGGATGTTAGTCATGGAAGTTCCTGAGCCACAGTGATGTATGTGGGATGAGACAGTCAGATCTTTTTGGCAGGACTACATTTCCAAGCAAGTACCCCTAAACATACTTTATCTGGAGGTGTTTCTCTGCCTTTATAAATAGCTGTTGGACATTGTGCCAAACATAGCCCCCAAAATGCATAAAAACAACACTTGAAAATGAAAGAAAAAAGAGCTCTCCAAAAATAGCATTCCTGCAACGTCAGGAAGAGAAAAGGTGGGAAGAAGAGAAGAACAAAAAAAGAGAGGCGGTGCAATCCTGACCGTAACTGCTTAGCTTCTTTAAACAAAAGCAGAGTCAAATGTGAAGAAAACACCTGACACCACATTGTGGCCCAAATTAAAGTATGTAAAATGTTATGCTAAGCATTTTGAAAAAAATAAAAGCAAGGCGTCTTGAATCATTTTAAAATATTCAACACGTCTATTTGCAGGGTCGGTCAGAGCAGCTCAGACAAGAGCGGCTGTGTAATCACTCCCCAACAACTGGACCAACAGAGGATTTAAGGGACAGGCCGTAATAGGATGTGTTTGTGTCTATGTGTGTGCATGTTCAAAAGTGTGTGTGTGTGTGTGTGTGTGTGTGTGTGTGTGTGTGTGTGTGTGTGTGTGTGTGTGTGTGTGTGTGTGTGTGTGTGTGTGTGTGTGTGTGTGTGTGTGTGTGTGTGTGTCGGGGGTCTCTGAGTCTTTGGTTAGGGAGCGGGATATCGAGACAGTATCTCATTGATTCCTGTGTTTCAGAGGATCAGTGATCAGAAGCATATTCATAGACTGCAGCGGTCCAGATGTGACCCTTTCACTGATTTTTGTTCAAACATGAATCAATGTTTGTGTCTGTTTTACATCAACAGAGTAAATCAGATGATTTACTGTCAAATTTGTTTTGACGAAGAAATGAATGACTGTGGCTGCCTTGTTTTCAGTTAACAAACAATACTGCCACTTGGAGCTCACTATTTAAAGTATCTTTTGGTGTTTCATGGAGTTTATTTTAAGAAGTATACCCATTGCTCAGCCCTTTCTCGTTTCTGCTGGAGACATGATCAACATTCCAAATTTAGCGTTTCGCAAAAAACACTCAAAACAGTGGTCTAGCCATTGTGCATAAATGTCACAATGATAATGCTACTTTCATGTCCATATGATCTCTGACAAGCTGAAGCACTATATTTGCTAGCAACACTATAGCCATTTATGTGGTGCTGTACATCCTAACCATTTTTACAACCACTAAACAAATACAACCATAATAGTGCATACATTAAGATTCTAATATTAGCCTGGACCCTTAGGAAGACTAGAAACCACATCTGGAAGCTAATGTGAGCTTAGCTAAGGGATGAATCCATTGTGTATGGAAAGGGTAGAAGTAGTGTTTAACAGCTGATACAGAGAGTATATTTAAGCTTTTTTTGCATCTACAGTGTAAATGCAAAACATTAATGACTGGTTTATCGGCCCCAATTCAGTAATTTAAGTATTTCTTTAAAAAAGCATGATCTCCACCCAAGCACTTGTTTGATATTTGTTCCATTTGTGTCCCTTTATACATCCTGTACAGTGAATAATTGTTTTTATTCTTCATTATGTTATCCTGAATAATGCTGTGATCATGAAGGACATACAGCAGGAAGTTTTATTCCCATAATTAATTTTTTCTAGATATTTAATGTTACTGACCTCTCATTATGACATGCACAATGACAATAATCATGCATTAAAATAAGTTTGCAAAAAACGAAAGATTCTTTGGATTTCACAATGACTCAGAGAAACTTCAGCTGATACATAACAACCAAGTTCATATTCCAACACTGGAAAACGTAAGTTAAAAGCAACACAAATAACCCCATAAAAAACTCTACTCCACAGTCAGAGAACAACTACAGTAAAATCCCTCGTGAAGAGCCTGAACGTACCTCTCACTCGAACAAAGCAGCAGCCACATTTGCCGAGCAGTTTCCTGAACAGGTGCTGACACCCACACCCTCGCTGGTGCTGACCCCCTCTCATGATGATCCACTGCTGCCGCTGCACTCAAGACTATCAGAAGCAGGCATCATGCTGGATGGACACACAAGACCACATACACACAACTATTCCTGTGGTAATACCCGGAGGAGATGAGAGGAAAAGTATTCCACAGTCATAATCCAAATCTGAGTAATCCCCTGAGACAAAAACAAAAAAAGGCAGTTTTATGTCCCATGATTTAAGAAATAACAGGGGAGAAATCCAGAGAGACGTTCTCCTCTCGAGCCTCTCTGTGTGGGCAGATTACGAGAGGGTCCCAACGTAAGAGAGGGAGCGACAGAGGCAGTGAATGGGAGGGGTTGTGATGAGAGGGGGGGGGCGGGTTGGCTAACATGCTGTACTGCTGTGAGAGCATCTGTTTCCAGCCCCACCTCCTCTCAGTCCCCTCCCCTTCGGATCCCTCTCCTCTCTCTCTTTAGCCTGTCTTCTCAGCGATCGCCCTGTGGCGTTAAGATCTTTAGTGTTGTTGCAATCTTTGGAGTTTTTCCGTAAAATAAACAAACTTTCTCTTTTGTAAAAGATGCATGTTGTGTGTGTGTTTCCAATATGAGTCGTGTTTTTTTAATGTTTTTAGCTTTATTGAGGTTGTATTGTCATGCCATCTTGCTGAGTTTCCAGGTGTATTTTTTTTTAACTCTTATACATAAATAAAACACATTTAAATGAAATGTCCTTGTGTGCTTTAGGGACTGTACATATTGTCCCAAGCAAGGACATGTAGAAGTATTTAAAGTTAAATCTGAGGGGTTTGCTTGGATGACCCCTCTTTAGTCGAGCAAGCCATCAACAATCAACATTATGCAAACTGCACTGAGGAGTTACCAGTAGTCATACACTCATTTTAGAGGAATTTCTAAAAACCTCTCTGTGAAATTGACTTGACCTCTACTCTTTCGTAAACATCTTAGACAACCAAATCAGGTATGTGTGCACAAAAACCATGCCACTGTCCGTATGGAACTGACTGTGTACTAGGGCTGCTCGATTATGGCAAAAATCATAATCTCGATTATTTGGGCCAGTAATTGATATCACGATTATTAAAAGCGATTATCCATTTACTTTGAAAACATCCATTTATTGAAAAAAACTTTAAGTATAATTCAACTGAAAAACCAATAAAAAAGAGAAAAATCGTTTTATTTCGATTATGTTGTTTTCATAATCGTTGCGAGCCAAAATCGTAATTGCGATTAAAATACGATTAATTGAGCAGCCCTACTGTGTACCACTTTTCACTAAAACTAAAAGTGACCCCAGTTATGCAGATGATATTGTACTTGCACTACAATTATGAATCAAATCGGATCAACAAAGATAATCTTTTATCCATGCTTTTTTTCAGCTGGTAAAGAACTTCCCTCTCTCATCAAGAAGGCAGAAGTCTGCTCTTCTTCGTCACTACAGGTAAAACATTTCCTCTGCTGTAGAAAAACCAACGTGCATATATCACACACGCAGCAAACTGAGCTGGCAGGATGGAGGCAGACCGATTTAATCTCAAAACCAAGATTAAGCATTCACCACTAGATGATCTTCTGAGCGCAGCTGTCCAAGCTCGTGGCAGGCGCTTTGATTCAAGCAGATTTCACCATAAACTCATACGAACCCAAACACAAACAATAACAGTAATGAGCAAAGTATAAATGATAGTAAGAGAAGAATCGGACTATTACAGAGCTGCTGTTTCTATAAGGCACATGTTTATTAAACAGCTCCATGCACACAGATAGATAAGCATAAATCTGCGTCACAGATCGACCAACACAACCCTGGAATCTCAATCCACTGAGGACAGATTACAGCTACAAAAATATGAAAATGCTCTTGCTCTCTTGGCCATCGTGTTAAGCCTTTAAAAACTCTGCTGGCATGATGATCCATGTGAGCTGAAAGGCACTGATCTCTCCACAATGTCGGATTACTGTATGTTCATGCATGTGTAGTGAGTGTGCACGCACTTAGTTAGCCACCATTTAATCATTAGGATAATGTTTTGGGTATTTTTGTGTTTTGTGTTGCTTTTAAAAGTAAAAGATGTATATTTATCTGTGATGTTTTGTCTGCAAAGTGTTTTGAAGTCTTATTTGATTGCGTGATTTGTGACATAAGAGATGCACACAGTGTTTCACTGTCATGGTTTTACCTCTGCCTGCAGCAGCCGGCGTCTTGATGTCCGGATTTTCTTCTGACAAGAGTTTCTCCCGGCTGGTGTCTGAAACCTTAAACAAAAGACAGATTCACCTCATTTTAATAAAAAAACACCTTCCCCCATTATAAAACCTTCTTTTTAGCTGTGTTAAATTAGTTTGACGAATGAAGGGTGAGTTCAATCGAACAGAAAGAGGGTTTGAGCTATATAATTATACCAGTTAACCTCTCTCTCCACCCCTCTCCTATTTTCTCCGACTGGTTTCTTATCTTATCAGAGGAATTCCTCTGAGAGGACTAAACTGACGACATCAAATCACTGTCTGATGCAGTTTTAAGAATAGCTTGGTTTTTTGTTTTTAAAAGGGCTTGTTTTTTCTCTCCTGGTTACTACCACAGAAACACATTTCTCAAAAATGTAAAGCGTATATTAGAAAAGATTCTGCAGCTTGTTTGATTTTGATGGACTAAACTATTCACCTTGTTGTTATTAAAAGAGGAGCACATGAACTGAATGAAAACTTAAACTCATTTGACAATACTCAGATTATAGTTTCGGATAGCATTTCTTATTTAAAAACAAACTAAAAGTTTAGACATTATTCATATCTAATTAACAGGTCTACATTTTTCTAATCTGCATGGAGGGAAATATTTGACCAAATCAAGGTTAAGATCATTTTACACAAACAAATGCAGGTAGAAGTTTAAGCATGCAAACAACAATCGTACTTTCTCTTGTTTTGTGTTATTAAACATGGTTAATACTGCATTGCGTGTCACACAATTTCCTTTTATGAAAAATCATTGTGTAGCCCCCAAGAATTGAGGTGTTTCCATCAGACACTCACTTTATCAACCCTGTATCCTAGAAGTTGTTCAGTCCTCCCTTGCACTTTTGCCAATGTCTTCATTTTGCTTCTGTATCCTTTCTTTTTGTTCTTCCCGGTTATTTTGTTCAGTTTTCTTGACTAATTTAAGCATGCATGCCTGATCCTTTAGTTTAATCACCAAAAGTCAGACAGAGGTTAAGAAGCTCTAGAAGAAGGATCTCTGTCGAACTGCTTGACGTCAAACAGAAGAGAAGTCAAATCTAACCTCTGCTCTGCACCAGGTTCTCCTGCGGGCAGATGAGGACAGCTGTTCAGCTGCACTGGGATCTGTCCTAAGGCCCTTCTGGATATAAGGAGGGGTCAATCTGTCCCAACAGGTCCAGCCACGTCCCACAGCTCCCATGGGCTAATTTCAGTCTGCGACTATTCCCAAAGCAGGAGTTTGAACTACCTCCCAAAACTTGAAATAGAGCAGCTCGGACTGCCTATATGATTTCCTTGATTTATTTGTCATTTATAGAAATAGAAACAGAAATTGATTATTTGTTATCAGTCCCTTTCATTTTTTTTTACCTTTTTATTTGACATCCTACACTCAACCAATGATGCACTAAACGTCCTAAAACCAGAAATATATTTAAATCTTTTAAACCTCACTACATGGAACGGGACACATTTTTATATTTAAATATGCGGTTTGTACATTCCTGATATTCAGGACGCATGTATAACGGCTCATCAGTTTCACTCTATTGGGACCAAACTTTAACATCTGCGATCAGAGGCGTGTGAATTGTGTGAGAGATCCCCCCCCTGTGGTAAATCAGAGAAACATCTTGACCCTCTGTTCTGTGGAGCGACTTGTTGCTTTTTTAACTTTTGAGTCTGTAATCCGGCCATCTGTTCACCTCTGAAGAGATTTCATTGCCTGCTAATCAGTCGTAATTAAATAGATTCCTCTGATCCAAGCAGTTTACAGTTAACATGTTATACATTTACACTTGTATTAAATAAAGAATAAATACTAAAAACTGTTTGTGGTTTCTGTTTTGAACAGAACAGAAAAGGACAGATTTTTGTCCACGTAAATATATTATTATTATAAATATTTGTCCACATTAGAAGTGTAACAGTTCATAGACTAGTCGATTAGTTGAATATATTTGGGTTTTGGACTTTAAAAATAAAGTTATCAGATGATGTGATAATCAGCAGATTAATAGATGATGAAATATATATGTTTTGCCTGTCTTTCTCATATTTGATAGACAATCATGTGGGGTTGATAATTACATTACATTACATATCATTGTAATTGATTGTTATTCCTCCTCTAAGCTTTGTTGTCTGTGGTCCTTCATCAGTTTAACACATTGGAATTAACTTGTTTTTCAAATGCATCAAATAAAGTGAGGTAAGATGTCATGGAACCTCGTGAATCTTTCTTTAGTTTAGCCAATTAAACAAACAGGTTTGCAGGTTGAAGACACACTGGTGCTGTGCTGAAAAGATGTATACTGCCATGATCACAAAGTAATCCTCTCCATTAAGCTGTTGTAAGTGGGATGAGCTGAGCACAGGAGAACAAACTGCATCTCAAAGACTCCTCCTCTCCGTTATGTCAACACGTCAACATGTGGGATGGAAATTGGTAAAGTAGCTCTATGTACAGGCCGAAAGGGAAACTGTGACTTCTCGACTGAGCTGAAAACATAGTGGGAGTTTTGGAGGAAGTCAGAAGTCACAGTGTTGTGACAGACACTGAGGAAACTGATCTTCTTTTACAGCTGATTGATGACCCTTTATGGTGAGTGTGTATTACTTATATTCATATACCAGTTTATTTGATCATAGTGAATGTCAGAACAATCTTGACTGATGGAAAATGAACATTGGTCTATGAAATAAAACATTTGAGCTGCAACAAGAAATTAATCGGCAAAGAATTTAGAAATTAGATTAAATGTCAAAAGTCATTTTAAGCTAAATTGGTAGAAAAAGCTTTTTTCAGCATCTCAAATATATTATGTTCCTGCTGTTCACTGTTCTTATTTATTTGAATATTAACCTAAAGATTAAAAAAGTACATTAATCGATGATGAAAATAATTGTGAGTTTTATTGACATGTGACATGACCTGTAAGACTCTCAACATGTGCTTTCCTGTACAACATGGCTGATGTGTGTGTCATGTCAATATCTGGAAAACCACTGTCAGTGATGCTCTTTATACATTTGGAATTTTACCAAATCATAATTTTGTTAGCTTTTTTTCAGTGTCATAAAAACAACGTGTGGAGTGGAAACACTTGCATGTGACACACAATTACATAAATATCAACTGCATTACAGTTGTCATAGTTTTAACAGTTATGTTGCCTTCAGAACTCAGTAACATAAAAACACGAGTTGAGCAGGACCACATGTGACTGAAGTTATTCTGAAGTGGGCTGTTCCTCATTTAGCCCCCCTGTGTTCAGCAGGGCTTTTAGATGCTGATCCCGTTACTCAACACTGAGGCACACTGAGCTCATACAACCACACCCACTCCGTGATACACAAATAACACACTCCTAATCCCTGACTGACAGACTCATGCTTTCACTTCTTCAATATAATAAGCAGAGTTTTTGACAGATCTGGATCCTTTCAGAAACATCATGGTGTGTTTCACCAATTACTCCACGTCTACAATAAGGAGAGGATTTTAACTAGTTATTATGTGTAGTCTTCAGGATGAAAACCATCATCATTTCTGAGTTTCCTATCTCTAGGTTGCAGCTGATTTGACTTGAGTTGCTAAAGACAATTTCAAGTACTTTGTGCATGACTCATTTCTGATTTCGACTTTCTTGTAGATGTAGTCAACGGAAACACCATAGTCTCACCTGTCCTGCTCTTGGAAGATGGCCACCGCAGCGTACGACCCCCACATGGGCTCCGACCCAGATGAGGACGATGAGTCTCTGTTGGGGAGCGAGTCGGAATCAGACAGCATCCTCTCTGACGACTCGGTGCTCCCAGACTACACGCTGCAGAGGACGGACAGCCGCGGGGAGCCGACACTATATCAAGCATGCGCCCGCAACGAACCCTTTGCTCTGAGAAGAATTCTGGAGAGAGGGGTCACAAAAGAGGAGGCCTCAGAGCTGGACATCAACGGCTGGGTGAGAGTCTCATTCATTAGTGTGTATATTCAGAATCTGTAAATATAGCTCACATTGTCTTAAACACAAACACTGTCATTTATCATTATCGTTGTCAATCCCCAACAGAATGGCTTGATGTTGGCTTGCTGCAAAGGTTTCGTTGATATTGTGTATGGACTCTACACCTGTCCCTATATTGACATAAATCAGCAGGACAACGAAGGCAACACTGCTCTGATGATCGCATCCCAAGCAGGTGGTCCCCCCTACACACACATTAACAAAACAAAGTTTAAGTTCAGAGGGATAAACATGGAAAGTACAACATAATTAAGGTGTAACTTGACAATAGCACATCCCATATACAACATAATGTGAATTTTAAGACTTAAAAAAACAATTAAAAGCCTTAGGTCCAGTGTGTAGGATTGAGTGGCAGCTTATATAATAAACTTACATCCATTTTAAACTTTTAATCATACAGATGTGTTATGTGACTACTTTTGAAAAATGACATCTCCAAAAAATTATGAATTGGCAAAACCATTAAAGAAAATCAAATGAACTCCAATATTTAGCAGACCCAAAAGGTTTTTGTTTTGCGATTATTCTTTCCTTACGATTAATTTTTACTTTGTGCTGTTATTTCTTTTCAAATGTAATTGTATTTACTATGAAATATATTCACTGCAACTTTTATAGCTAAAAACTAGAATATGTTTTAATGAATGCACTCACTTCAAATGCATGTGTCTAAATCCACAAACTGGACCAAATACTGAATTTGATCCAACCAGCATTATTTCAAAAGTCATACATTTTCTGACTCACTGCTGAACAGATCTCTGAATTCTGTGTTTTTCCCTGCAGGTCATATCAACACTGTCATGTTTCTTCTAAACTACTATTCTGGCATAGACACTGAAGTAAGGGATTGTCGAGGTTTCACAGCACTCATCAAAGCGGCTATGACCGGCCGCACTGACGTAGTGGCTGCCCTCGTCATGGCTGGTAAGTGTTTTGGATAAAATCCTATTTCTTTTCATAAGAGCCTTGAGAAACTTGATAGATGTTTTTCATTATGTCTTCAAAGTTACAGGAAAATATAGGAATTGCTGGCATCATACCAATACTTTTATTTTAATTAGACGTTAAGAGGTGATTTTATACTGCATATTCATAGATTTATAAATCATACAACTCAGACACTTCTGGACATTTAAAAAATTATATTTAGACACTTAAGGCGCAACTTTTTTAAACACTATTTTTCTCTGATCTTCGTCAATCAATAAAAACAATGTTTGACTTTTGACAATATATATATATATGATATTATTGGATCTCCTTTTTAATACCCTGACATTAGCTGATTAACCAGGGCAACCTTAAATAACAGTTATAGCTCTGCAGGTGAGAATAGCTGAGCGCACGGTTTATCTGTTTATCCGTTTGTGTATTTGGAGCCAGATAATTGTCAGCGAGTGAGTGTGCCAGTGACACTGAGCGGCTTAAAGGATCCTTCTGAGGACATTATCACATCTAAAACTTATCCTCCAGTAACCACTGATTTACAAGTCTTCAGGCTGGTTGTAGATTAACCCCATGCAGAGCTATTTGTAGATTGCACACGTCTCCTAAAATCTCTGCCATTCATAATTTATTGTTTAACATTCCAGTAGGACTGCAAGTTATGAATGTTTACTTTATTGATTAATCTACTGTTTATTTGCATGATTAAATAATGAATCTTCTAGTATGTTTAATGTAAAAGAGAACTTCAAAAATGTCATTCATAATTTCTCCGACCTGACAGTCATGCCTCTGCCTTTTCCAAAGAAGACATTTCAACATGTTAGAGTGGGTAGAGCAAAGCTGTCAATCATAACCTTAATAAAAACTGAATTCCATTTATGACCTTTAGTGTCAAGGTCCTGCCAGGACTTTGCCGGGTAATTAAAAATGGTGACAGATTGAGTCGGTCCCTAGTTAATGTTACCTGTACCACATCCTTATCCTTTTCCCACTGTAACATGTCAAATGTTTTCTGTAAAGAAGGCCTATACAGTATGGTTATGTTAATAAGCCTTTTAAATCATTTTAAATGGCTGCATTCAATTAAGTGTTTCAATGTTAGGGTCCTGGGTTTGTGCATTCTAGCTTACTGGTATGATCTGAAATAAAGCTATCATTCATTTGATTAATAGCACCTGCTTTGACATGCCAAAATGTCCGCCATAAAGAAGGTGGTCTTTGCAGTTCAGAATAGCACTAAAAAAGAATAGATTTTTTCTTTTCAGAGTTAAATGAACCCTTGACTTTGTAATTCATTAAGTCCACCTTCTATATTGCAGGTGCTGACATAGATGCAGTAGACTCCACAAGAGGAAAAAGCTCTCAGGACTGGGCACTGAAAACAGGGCGCTATGAGACCCTGCAGCGTCTCCGGCGCCTTACTATGCGACCAAAAGCTGTGCAGTTCTGTGAGGCTTATATCCCTGAGTGGCCTGAGCTCAACGAGAGGGTAGCTAAGGCCAAAACGGGGAAAAGTACCAGGGAGAAAATCAGCCAGCGGATCAAAAACTCATTCAGAATACCTCGTGAGCCCGAGGACAACGGGGCCTTGGACAACATGGTGCTCATGACCACCTGTGTCCACAGTCCACTCATTTCCATTGGATGCCGTCCACTCTGCCCTACAAGCCCCCCTGAGCTGGGGAAGAGACGCCTAGCTGTGCCAGAGCTGGTGAAGAAACACCCAGATAAGGAATTAGAAGAGAGATCAGTGTGCCACAACAACGGCTCAGTATCACACATCAATCCCACAATCCAGTCTGCTGAGTGCTCCTCAATGATGTGCTGTGCTGAGGGCGACCGGCGGGGCAGCGTGCTCGCGACAAAAGTCACTACAGCATTTATTCCCCGCAGTATGGCAAGAAAAAACAGCGTGTTCCCGTCTGGATGCATCCCAAAGATCGACATCGTCAGGCCTTCAAATGCAACACCAAAGAAAGAAAAGAAGAAAAAGAAGAAGAAAGAAAAAGGTTTCCTGGAACTTCCCAAGTGGAGATACAAGGAGATCAAGGATGAGAAAAAGAAGGAGAAGAAGAAAGCTGAAAAAGAAAAGGCAGAGAAAGATACAAATAAAGAGAAAGACAACAAGAATGGCACAAAATAAGTTTCAAAAAAGAGCTGTTCCCTTTTTAGAACAATATTTCCATTTTCAAGGGCTTTTGCCTTTTTTAGTATAGCTGAAGATAAACAGGAGAGAGAGGGGAGGGCATGCAGCAAAGGGCCACAGGTAGGATTCAAACCCAGGCCACGGCTGAAAGGACTCAACGAGCCCACATTATGTAAATATTTAGTGTTTAACTCAGGGAATGAGATTTTCAAACCAAATGTGTTGGAAACGACTATAAAATATACAACCTATAAACTAAAGGGGAAAAAAAGAGAGACGTTCTCTTCCTATGACTGAATGGCCTCAAACAAGCACAGCTGAGTCTCTTTGGGAGGGGTTAGAAGCTTTTAGACTCTAATGTTTAAGGGTTGAGACAAATATTACATATTTGCTTAGTAAGGATAGAAAAGGTGATCCATTAGTATAAGCTATTGAAAATGTAGAAAATACAAAAGGACGGAAAGGATGTTTTTTTAATGTTTACAATGTAATGCAATATTTACTTTATTTGCGCATTTATGATGTCTACTTCATCATTCACATAAAATACAGGCAGAGGGTCACATACTGTATGTACACCTGCATATCCAGACCTATGTAAGATGTAAATAAAGAAATGTGCAATAGCTCATGTGTGCTTTAAGCACAATTGTTTTATGTATTGTGTATTTTGTAAATACCTAGACTAAAACAAATTGTAAATAGTAAATACTGTATTATATTGTAGCAAATATTTATCAAAATGGTGGTTTTGTTTAACGTGTTATTGCCACTTTTCATACATTGCCAATGCCATATTCATATGAAATCTCCTGTTTTTATTAACTCTGTGAGAAATAAAGAAAACATCGATTCCTTAATGCTTACCTCAATATTTTCTCTTTGGTTCAAATTACTATGTGTAATGTGTTTCTGGCAGTGATCAACTGCATAAGGAGTTTCCTCTTATCACCTCTGTATCTATCATCAGGCAACTGCTTAATAATAAGAGCTACATTTATGAATGAGTGGATGGCTGGATGGACTTAATTAATAGTAAAGTATATGTCAGTAAGTAAGTAAGTAAGTAAGTAAAGAAGTAACTAGGTGATAAAGTGAGTAAGTAGGTAATTGTATCACAATTGTTCATCTATTAATGAGTGGCCTATTTCATAGTTGTTATTTTGTGCTATGTTATGCTGCAGGGTAGCTCGTGGATTTTACCCCAGGTGTAGTAACTAAAGTCTTATTTTTTGTGTATTTTACATCATTAAACAGAATGTGCAAGGTAACTTACTGTAAGGTACTAAATGAATTCAGTAGAGTAAAAGTACACGATTTAGTGGAGTAGAAGTACAAAGTAGCAAAAAAAAATAGCAAAAGGTAAAGTACAAGTCTCTCAAAATTCTACTTTAGTACAGTACTTGAGTAAATCTACTTAGTTCAATTACACTACTGATAGATAGATATATAGATATATAGATATATAGATAGATAGATAGATAGATAGAATTGCCCACCTCTGTAACCCCATTGTGTGTCTGTGCTGCTGCCTGCTGGTGGAGCATGTTAGTAAACTGTGCACTGGCAGCCTGGTTAGCTGTCATCATCAAGTCTCGCCACATAACGCTAGCTAATTTAATGTAATGCCATGAACCGGGAATATATTGATCATGGCCAACCTACGGATTGCTTTAGCTGTCGTGGTTGTTCAGGCCGTCTTGTACAGAAGCTGCGAGGGTGAGTGACTTATTGTTTGTTGTCTTCCTAAGCTGCTGCTTCTGCTGCTGTTATGATCGAGGTGAACGGCTGTGCAGTTAGCTGTTAGCTAACGTTAGCTAGGTCAGCTAGCCTAGCCGGACGACAGATTCAACTGACACCGGTCAACATTTATTTAAATGAACTTGGGTGTTATTAATTAAACAGCTTTCATGTGTATGTGACTATTACACGATATCTCACCGTCTTGCTGTCGCTGTCGAGCTTGTTAGGTTAGTCTGAAACAGCAGCAGTTAGTCTGTGGCTCAGCGGCTGTAAGCAGGGTTAGCTTTGCTATAGTTATTTACCCGCTGTGAACAACATTATATACCTTCCATTTAGTGAGCGTTTAACTACCTCTCTGCATCACATTCATAATATCTTAATGCTTAAATAATCTTAATGATCTCTCTCATGTTGCTAATGATGGAACGTCATACATACAATATTTACACATTTTAAATCTCTAACGTTACAGGTTTTATTCTGGAAATGATGTTGTGCTTTTATTATTATTATTATTATTATTATTATTATTATAAAGCATAGCTGTTAATACTAATAACAATAGTAATAGTTTGATAGGTAGTCCTATCATAATATCATGTGTATTAAATATATGTACTTTATACTTGTACTTTATTTTCTTCTGCTGATATGTGTAGCCTATATGTATTTTATTTTATTATTTATTCATGTGCAATGTATTATCTAAATGCTGCTGTTTGAAAAAGTGTGCCAAATGTGTATCAATAAAGTATATTTGATCTTATTTATGAATTTATAGAGCACTTTTCATACAACAAATATAGCTCATGGAATGTGAGAGCTTGTGAAGTATTAAAACGCCTGCTGATTACAGAGCCTGAAATGTTAATGAAAGTACAAATCAGATAATATCTGAAGGGGCAGGCATCCAGTTTTCCTAAAAGTAAAACCGTCTATATTAAGATCAACTTTTATTATAGTAACGCACAACTTGTTTATCAATGCATTTTTTAAATCACAATTTAACGGCACCTGTCAGTATCTTGGATGGATTCCTTTGATAAGGTGTTTTTTACAATCATCCCAATGTGGATTAGAGTTATGACATTTATAGCCATCTAAAGTCTGAAATGTCACTCTCATTTAATGTTTAGTCAGCGTTTATCTCCATTATCGTCTTTGGTTGTTTTGACCAACAGCATCTGCCAAGTAGGTGTTGGCATTATATGAGTCATCACCACAGAAGATGTTGTAACACATTAACTCTACATTTCTCCTGTTTCACGTAGATGACACTTCATTTCAGGTGTATATGTGTGGGTTTTCTAGCAAACATTCAGCTTACATGCTGAAATTCTGAAAGTCACATAATGTCTGTGTCTTAATATTATTACTTAATATCATATATTAAGAAGGATCAGTGTCTTGTTTGTCAAATGACAGTCACATCTGGTAATTTAATCTCTACTTGTGCATGCCATCATAAACTCCCCACCCACCTTTCCAAAGCCCATGCCAGCCTAACACACCCAGCTCTAACACTTCCTCTACTTCCTGACCTCCCCACAATCCTCCGTCTCTCAGTCCTCACCTCTCTAATTCGTATTTGCAATACATCACTCCCTGCTAACTATTTCTAGTTTTACTGGTTATTGTCATATATTGATTCGGCTCAAAAAATAAAAAAAGATCTTTGCGCATACATTTGACTGTTTTAGAGCCAGAATGATTAGTCGCCTAATCTAATAATTGATTGAGAGAAACAATCTGCAACTATGTTAATCATTTAATTGTTAAAGTCATTTGTTATGCTAAGGTTACAGAAAATTCAGTTTTCAACTTCTCAAATATATGAAAATGCATTTCTAATTTATATCAAAATACTTTGTTTCACACTGTGTTGATTCTTCTGCCACTTTCGTCCCTGCAGCTCTGCGGTGTAACTGCACCACTCCGCAGTGTGAGAGGAATGGCTTCCAGTGTGAGACTGATGGGGCCTGCATGGCCTCCACTTCCTTCATCGAAGGCCAAGAGCAGAGCATCCGTATCTGCATAACACGGGACAACCTTGTGCCCCCTGGACAACCGTTCTACTGTCTCAGTGCAGAGGGCTTGCTCAACATCCACTGCTGCTACACAGACTACTGCAACAGCATTGACCTCAAAGTACCCACAGGTGAGAACTGTGTATCATGTTGTATATACAGTACCACTGGAAACACTTCTTGAGACTTGAGTGTTCATGGGCTTGAAATCTTCATGCTAACATGGTAATAAGAAGATTGTATTTTAGTGTTTAGTGTTCAAACTGCAAGCCAACAGATGTTTTGGAGTTGTTATTACGACTTGAAGAGCTTTCACATGAATGATCACCGTTCTGAAACTATTTTTCCTTTTATTCCGACACCACATGAATGCAGCACGAAGGCCTTATCTTTCATGCAAATGAAGGTTAAACATATTCCGCCTCCTAATTTGGATTATTTTCAAAATGGATTAGGTTCTTCCTTGGTCCATGCAACACTCTTCTACCAAGTTTCATGATAATCAGGATTTGTTCAGAGAGACTAGCTGAGCTGAAATCATTATCTCCCCTTGTGTGTTTTCACCTTGAGTACCACACATCTAACGTCCGCTCATACATACAGTGTGAGTCAAGCACAGGCAAGAACATGTTTCCTGTTTTCTACACAGTCTGTGACTCATGGTTCCTGAGAAGACACAGGTTTCCTCTGGTTTTGTACAGTGTCCAAAAATATTAATCAGAGTGTGTATAGAGAGAAGAATGTGACTGTGGAAACATTGTGACAGGAAATTGTCGACAGTACTCATCCGAAGCATGCACAAAAACACAAGTTCATATAAAGCTTTTAACTAAAAAGCAGCACTTCATAGACTGGTATAGTATGAATAATCGGACTAATATTTTTAAAATACCTTGTTCACTTCCACAGTAAGTGATTCACGTATTTCACGTTGGATATTTTTTGAATACTAATGGTACTAGACTAGTACAGTCTGAACAAAGTTAGGAATGCTTCAAAATATGAGAAAGGTCAACAAAAGGAATATGTAGACTAATCAAATGACAGTTCTAGAATGTTGAATTAAAATTCTAAAATGTTGGGTACAAATTCTAGAATGTTGAATACATTAAACATTAAATGTTAATTTCATTGTAATTCAACATTCTAACACTGTAAGGTAACATTCTAGAATGGTAATATGTACTGAGTGCCAGATATTGCATTTCATTCTCGACTTTTCTTTCTTTCAGTCACCACTCAGGCAGGACCCGGGGGAGGCTACGGCCCAGATGGGACATGGGGGTTGGTGGAACTAGTGGCTGTGGTGGCAGGGCCGCTGTTCTTGCTGTGTCTGCTGCTTCTGACCTTTATGTTCCTGTATCAGTACCACCAGAGGGCCTACAGCCACAGGCAAAGGTTAGAGGTGGAGGACCCCTCCTGTGATCATCTCTACATGACCAAAGACAGTACCCTGCAGGACCTCATTTACGATCTGTCCACGTCTGGTTCAGGCTCCGGTCAGTGCACAACGTCATAATGTACACTGATCAAAGATGTAAACGCAAAACTTTTTATTTCATTCCCATTTTCACGAGTTGGAAAAAAAGAGATTCCAAGTTTTTCAGTGCAAAAGGCTTATTTCTCCAAAATAATTGCACCAATTAGCCAAAATCCTCATTAGTGGCTACTCCTAATTTGCCAAGATAATTCCTCCACCTGACATACTGTATATAGTGATTCAATACTATCATTATTACAGATTTCTGCTATGCAGTTTAAGGGCAACAGCTCTGGGACGATGGCACGCTCCCTGAACTTGCAACATCTGTAGAGTTGGGTTTTGTGATAAAAAGGCCAATTATAGAGTGGCCTTTTTGTTTAGTCAATATCTTGATATGCCACACCTGTCAGACAAGAAATGCTCATTGACACAGATTTTAACAAATTCAAATCAAAGTTTTAAAGAAATACGCTTGCTGCATGCAGTCTTTTATTCTTCATTTGAACTTAAGAAGAATTCAAGCAAAAGCAAAAGTGTTTTTATTTTTGCATAGTGTAGCACAAGAATATGAAAAGACTGCTGATAACTGTTTTTATCTTTTCTAAGCAGGCCTGCCTCTATTTGTCCAGCGGACTGTTGCCAGAACAATTGTCCTCCAGGATATCATTGGTAAAGGGCGTTTCGGGGAAGTGTGGCGAGGACGTTGGAGGGGAGGTGACGTGGCGGTGAAGATCTTCTCTTCCAGGGAGGAGCGCTCCTGGTTCCGTGAGGCTGAAATCTATCAGACTATCATGCTGCGCCATGAAAACATCCTGGGCTTTATAGCTGCTGACAACAAAGGTGCAAACCTGTTAAATGTTGTATAATGGAAGAATAATTCACAGCTCAGGGTGATGTGTGTTGTATTTTTTATGTAATCATTCATAATTTTCAATTACATTTATAATGTTTTGTATATGTCTATATTCCCATCTCCTGCCCAGACAATGGCACATGGACCCAGCTGTGGTTGGTGTCAGACTACCACGAGCACGGCTCCCTGTTTGACTACCTGAACCGCTACCCTGTCACCACTGAAGGGATGATCAAACTTGCACTGTCAGCTGCCAGTGGCCTGGCACATCTGCACATGGAGATACTTGGAACACAAGGTGACTGCTTCATTTATAATGCAACACATAAAGTGCTCCTGTTATTCATTTCTCTTTTGTCTCTTTCCTCTCCCCACAAGGCCTCCTATTCTGACAAATTACCTTAAAGGTCCCATGTCATGGCCATTTCTACTGATCATAATTCCATTGTTGAGGTCTACTAGAATAGATTTACATTGTTTAATGTTCCAAACTCACATTGGTTTCTCATACAGCATCTCTGTATAGTATGTGTATTCACTCTCTGTCCTAAATGGCTTGTTGGAGCTCCTGCCCCCCCCTCTCCCTATGAGCCCACTGTGCTCTGATTGGTCAGCTCGCCCACTCTGTTCTGATGAGTCAACCACCGTTACAGTGGAACATCAGTGATTATGTGTTACAATGGCGTTAGCAACCAGAAAATGACACCAGTAATGACAAACAGATGAGAATGCTGCGTGGGGTCTGGGTGCCGTGTTGGCGGGACGTTGCGTGGCTCGCTACTGCGAGGAGTGGACAGTGTGAGCTGGATTACTGGTGTCATTTCCTGGTTGCTGCGTGGGGTCTGCGAGACAGCGAGACACCGTGGAACTCAGCCTGAGCACACACACTCACTCACAGCCAGGCTGTGAGTGTGTGTGTGAGGAGATCCGCGGAACCGCGGCTGAGAAAAGATAAGGCTGAGTGAGTGTGTGTACAGAGCCGTTACGTCACTATGAACAGGAAGAAAAAAATGGAAAAATAATAATCTCCAAGGAGGCGCTCTGGGGCAGCATAGACAGGTATTTTCTGTGTCTTTTACATGCATGAAAAGCTACATAACACACAAGGAAAACCGTGACATGGGACCTTTAAAACAAATGTTTTTTTTTTAAATAAATAATTTAGCTTAAAGAATTATAATAAAAATTGACTGAACAAATCTTAGTTCACTTCGCCCAAAACAACCAGAGCGAAAAGTTTTAACCTTTTTCCAATTATGTACTTTATACATTTGTTGTGGCCAATATAAATAGTTTCCCTTGTCTTTGTCATCTGAGTTATCTTAGGAAACAATTCACTCTACCCGTATGGAGATTAAAGTAAAGTCAATTTGTTGCTCAAATTGGGGGGTGTTTTTCTATTTTTATTAACCAAACTGATGGCCAAAAAGAATGTTATAGTTTCTCAATAAAGAGAATCGACATTGACCTTAACAAAAAAACAATTTAGGGATAAGAGTTCACAATTGTCTGTCATGTACACTTCTGCTTTGGTAGGAAAACCAGGTATCGCCCACAGAGACCTGAAGTCCAAGAACATCCTGGTGAAGAAGAACTGCACCTGTGCCATCGCTGACCTGGGCTTGGCTGTCCGTCATGACTCTGCCTCCGACACCATCGACATTGCACCCAACCAGAGGGTGGGCACCAAGAGGTCAGTGTCAACACCCGCACCTGCAGCTGCTGAGTGTGCTTCTCACAGATATCTTTGACATATTTTCCACGTATTTACAGACTGAGATTGTTCTTACATCTCTCAGGTACATGGCTCCAGAGGTTTTGGATGAGACGATCAACATGAGACACTTTGACTCATTCAAATGTGCTGATATCTACGCTTTGGGGCTGGTCTACTGGGAGATTGCACGCCGCTGTAATACTGGAGGTCAGACTTGTTTGTTTTTACTCTGGATACTCAACCTGTGGTGTTTTGATATTTGTATCCATGTTAACAACTGAGATCACAGCACTGATCTGACCCCGCCTCTGTCCCGTGTTATCAGGTATCCATGAGGAGTACCAGCTGCCCTACTACGACCTGGTACCGTCTGACCCTTCCATAGAGGAGATGAGAAAGTTGGTCTGTGACCAAAAGCTTCGACCCAACATTCCTAATTGGTGGCAGAGCTACGAGGTATAAAAATGAACGATTAAAGCAATATGTTTTCACTTTTCAAGATCTGACTTATACAACAATGGTAATTCCAGTTTATTACAAGTTCAAGTTCATTGCTAGGATCTAGAAATGCTTGGTAATCACTAAAGGAAGTCCAAGCGGTTATTAAGTTAAACCCCAATGTTAAATTACTCTAAAGGTAATAATATATACAAATTACAAAAACAAGACCTATGATATATATTTTGTTGAGTGGTTTACTTACATTATAGCAAATGTTTCCAATATTCAAACCTAGAGAAATCCATCACTTTAATCAAAGTACCAGTCCATCCTGCAATGATAAACTCCCAAGTTCTACTTTTTCTGTTAAATGTTTGGATTGGGTGCTCCCAGTGGCAGAAAATTGACATATTGTGCCTTTTAATATGGTCATCATTTTTCTCCCAGAAATATTTGTGAAACTGTTTTTGTCTGTTCTTGTGTGTTTTCATGTGCCAAGGGAGATGCACATTATGGCTGCGCTTGCTCTCCGTTAATCTTACTTAATCTGTTGGCTTTTTTACAACTAGAGCCAGATATATCGGCCAGTATTAGTAGATGAAGTGACGCATACACCAGTACAGGTCATTAGATACTGGTGCACAGAAATGCCAAACGTATATCTTTGTGTAATCTAGTTGCTAGAAATGACAGCCAAAGCTAGGAAAAATTAGCCTAACGATGCAATGAAGTGAGTTATCCTATAAAGCTCTTTTTGAATGCAATTGAATTGAATTTGTTAAACCAAATGATTGTTTTGACACAGGAAACACAAAACTCTTTTAAACAAACTTTGAACATTATGCATGGACTTCTTGAGCTACATTTGTGTCATCATAGCTATGTATACTGTATTACGAGCTATTAATCCTTATCTGCCCCTTCTCCATGTTGTCACAGGCCTTACGGGTAATGGGCAAGATCATGAGGGAGTGTTGGTACTCGAATGGAGCCGCCCGCCTGACGGCCCTGCGCATCAAGAAGAGCCTCTCCCAGCTCAGCATTCAAGAGGACATTAAATTGTGAGCTCAGAGAACGAGCACTGAGCACTACCCGACTCCAGACTTTTGAAAACTGAGCACTTTGTAAAATATTTCTCCATTGACACTCCTGCCAGTTTTGAAGCCACTTGATTTCTGACCAACCCTACCTCGCTTACCCAGCCAAACTACCAAGAACACCTTTCCTGTCTTGTCCTCAGCTACTGCTGCCCTTTTTGTCCCTCTCTACACTCTGTACTAACAAGGATCCTTGGGGTTTCCTGTGTACTTGTATGCAATCGATTGCAGGACATGTATTTAACCATTTAACATTCTGAAAATCAGTTGCTGATATCTCCTCAAGGTCTCTTCGATCACAGTCGCTTAATAGTTAACACATTTGCTCTTCTTGTGTTTGAAAGGGTGCAAACTGGGAGTGTTTTTAACTTATTTTTACTTATTCTGTTATTCAGAGGACTAGATCTTGTTAATATATGGGGTGTTTGTGAGGCTATTGTTCAGGTTTCTCTCTGCCACCTACAGCATACAGGCAAATATCACTAACTGCTTAGAAATCCTTCAAAGAGAGCTATCCATCTGGTTCTGCTACCACTGTGTTGTTTGCTTGTATGCTGATTACCATGTAAGCATGTACAAAGCACTTAGGGCAGTTTGTGTTTTAAAACTTCAAAGTCATAGGAGCTTGGCAACTTGCCAAACATGATTTAGCCTTTGGACCCCTTGCCTGGAGCCCTTTCCCATAAGCTGTTGTAAACCTCAGGTTATCCTTATGCTATCCAATCAACAAGTTGTTTTAGCTCTTCATCTTAAGCAACATACAGACATAGGAATCAAGCAAAATGTATTAAAGTAGGATGGGGGGTTGAATGTAGAGCATCTGCTGCCAGGGTCTGTGTGTTGTATTTGTTGGATCTTCTTAGGTGAGACACTGGCTTTGGATTGGGACACTTCTTACATAACACATGTAGAATATTTAAATGGTTGTATCTATCTAAAGCCGCTGTGTTTGATCAACCCCACAGAACATAACCTGCCATGAGAGTAAGCTCAGATAAGCCGGTGTGCACGACACTCAGATAAACCTTACGTTCTTTGCAGCAGCGAATCCTATTTACACTGTACTATAAAACACGGGATTTTGTTTACGTTGAATCCCTTTTTAAATACACTAACCCTGAATCTGAATCATAGCTTGTTTTTATTATACATTTTTAATATATTGTCAGAGCATGTCCAATGTTCCTTTTCCTGCAGGGCAAATATTTCCTGGCCAAGTATAAATACTGCACATAAACTAGCTGTTTAGAATGATACTAGTGTAAATAAGATGGTTCAATTGGATTTTATGTCATGTTTGAAATGGTTGAATCTTTTTATTGGTTTTTTTTGTTGATGGAAGAGAAAAACTATCTTACTAACTTGTGTTTTGTTTTTGATGACGATCTACTGTTTGACCTCTGAAATGACATTTGTGTGTCACAGCTCTAATGTTGACTTTTCTCTAATAGCCGTCTATAACTGCACAGCAGCGTTTGATTTGTCCCTTCAAAGCTCCTTTTGTTCACCATACAATACCTCCTGAGTGTGCAAATTGTATGTGGATTTTTTCCACCAATCTAAGTTTGTCAGAAATCACTGTCGAAATGTTTTGTTTTCAGGAAATAGGTGCACTTTTGTCTTTAGCTGTATGCAAATTCAACAGGTACTTTGTGTGTGTGTGTGTGTCTGTAATCTTTCCCGTGTTATTTATATTTGTATGCTGTGAGTCCCTACGCAAGGCTGAAGGCCACGTGTGCACTACTACTGACCTCGCAGCATTAAAACCAAATGTTCTCAGAATTATCTCTGGTCATGTCCTCAAGTGTTTATTTAAGATCACACCACTGAAAATGAGAATGTTTATACAAATCACGCCAACCAGTTGCAGAACTCTGCTGACTAGAGACTGTAAGGAGGATCTGACTTTGTCTTTGGGAGAAGAAATGTAACTAAATACTACTGAAATGTCTGAATTGCTGTCTCAAAAATGTGTTTGACCAATACTTTTATTTTAAAAATCTCTCTTTCCCTGAATTTGTAAGTCTTTCAGGATGTATGTAAGAACAAAGAGACTGCCCTTGAGGCTGTCACTTGTGGCTGGGAAAAAATGTGTAGATCTACTGTTTGATAAGTGGTTGAGTGTCAACCATGACATACACACTAAAGGGGAATGTCTGTCTTGTCCAATAGTACCTGCCTTACAATGTATAAAATGCATAGTGTATTTAAGGTTGCTCCAAGTGTCACCAAGAAAGAAGTGGTTGTTATTCTGCAGGCAGTGAAAGAGACGACTGCATCCATGTAAAAACCCCTTCAGGACTTCAATCATGTACCTTCTAATATAGAGTAATAAATGCAATTGTTTTCATAATTGGTGTGTATTTATTTTATCTCGACCAACCAGACTTTAAGTGAAAAAAAGGTACTAATGACATTTATCTAACCTATCCTAAAGTATGACTAGGAATTATATTTGTATGAAATGTATAACTTGATGACATAAATGACCATTTTTCATTTTAAACAAATAAACAATAATAACTTCAGTCAGTATTAATTGCGTAACATCCTATCCCTTAAATACATACTGATTCCAATCACAACGCCATTACATGTGTGCGGTCAGATACTGGTTAAAGTTACACACACTTGTATTGCTCTGTATCTAATATTCAATCTGAAAATATAAAAGTATCTCAGACAAGTAACTCAAGTCATAATGTCTCCATTCAAGTCACAAGTATTTAGTATCATGTCATTTATTTTCTGTAAAAAAAAAATTCATCAAAACAGTACATTTAGCCGACTCAAGTCCAAGTTACGATAACATGGGTCAATATCTCCATGACCAACTCATATAAGAAAGTACAAACCTCAAATTTGTATTTAAAAAGGTTGCCATATGGAGGTGATGTCATTTTGTTATGTGCTTTTTTCCACTATCTAAAACTGGACAAATGACTTAATGCTGGTTCACCGAACAGTTTAATGTTGCGGTGTGAATCAATTTCATATCAGCTACCTGGTTAAATCTTTAGATTAAGGTTATATCTGGTAATATAAAACATTTAACAATAATACCAATTTAAAACAATCTCTTTAAGAACCTTTTATTGCTCATCCTTCCAATGTTAATCTCAATGCATATCACTGCATAACTGTGCGTTTACAATTTACATAGAAACAGGAAGTGTGACAGGTTCCTGGCCCATCCTCTTTTGAAAATGGAAAAAAGAAATGCTGGTATTGAGTGATTTTGATAAAGTCCCCTAAATACAATTGAACGCAACAGAACACACTAAAAAATGTAGAAATCATAAAGCAATCAATGCCACAGACATGTTTATTTGACCATTTGTTTTTAGGTGGACCAAACTTCCAAAAACTAAAGCTCATTTGTAGCAATAGTTAAGTCCCTTTAACGGTAATAATGCCAAAAAACCCAAAGTGTGATTAACAAAAAAAAGTCTTTCTAAAGTCAAATATACAATCCACTAAACATGTTGTCACACATGAAAAACAGACAAAATGGCAAAACACAGAATCCATAAATATCCAGAGCATTTAACGGTCATCTCCTCCAGGATTCATTGATGCTGTTCAGAATTGCACCTTCTCTTGACAGCCTAATATTATGAAACTCTTCTAAGACTAGAGTTGTAACGATGAGTAGGCGAGTCTGTTTTGAATAATGGATTAGTCATTTTAGAAAGGCTTTTTCAGCCTCTTCAATATGGACATTTCCTGCTTCTCTCTTTTTTTGGATCATGTGAAATTGATTAATTTGGGGTTTGAACCGACAAAACATGACATCTAAAGACATCACCTTGGCCATAGAGAAACTGTCTGACATTTTATAGATAAAACAAAACAGATCCATTCTCTCAGCTACATTGTTGTCTGGCTTCACAACTCATTTGATCCAGAGTCCTTATATTCTTCACACCTTTAACATGTAATCAATTGATTTAATTGTTGAAACAATTCCTGGCTTATTTAAAATGTAGTCAGACCGTGACCGGGGCTTTTTCGTTTTACCTGTGAAATCATATTCTAACACAAATGACCAGTGCAGACGACTAGCCGTCTCCTTCAAAGTCTAGAGTTTGTATGATTAATTGAGCTAAACCCAAAGCAAAGTGTATTATTAAGCTAGTGTATGAGAGACACACATACAGATAAATACTTCTGGAACCATATAACCTTCAAAATTAAGTTTCAGGTTTTTCTAGGTAGCATTTTCACGAATCCTCCAACCACGTCTAAATAATAAAACCAATTGGAAAAACAAGATCATTTTGTCAAGAAAAAACAAATCATTTATGTACAAAGTACAGGACACAGGCTAATGTTGGAACTTCCCAGAACAACAATGCACAACAAATATTAATCGGAAAAATAAACAGTGTTTAAAAGTCTTTGACATAGGCTTTTGTGCATTCATATTCCAGCTGTATTAAAGAAATGTAATTCTGCCATCAAAAGGCATTACAGGTAAATCCGTTTTTATTTAGCTAGTGATCGATTACATAATTTAAACTGATGTGAAGGAATTTGTGATAAGAGTCATAATGACTGGCTTAAGATCATGGAGCACAGCGGTGGGAATGATGCCTGCTCAGAGAAGACGGCTCCTCATCCAGAGGTCTTCACATCTCTCCTTGCTTGGAATTTGAGCTTCTGTATGCCTTATGCTACTACCATTTTGTTTTGCTGTGTTGCTAAAGCTTTATATTTTAGCAGAGAAGGCGAAGTATTCACGTGTTAATATAGGAAGTCTGTGGACAGGAGATAGGTGATGGTACTTCAATATACACATGCCTGTTGCTCTGACCTTCTCTTAAAATTGTGTAGCCTTTCTTGTTTCAGAAACATCCTCAAGCTGTGCCTGTGGACAGAAAATACAAATCATTACTTAGTTCATCATAAACACATTTAGTAGAGATCACCGAATGCAATTTTCTTGGCCGATTCCAATTATCTTTTGTCTGACGTGATTTCCATATTTTTTCTAAAAAACAAAATTAAAAGTATACACAAAAAATGAGTTGTAACTTTTCTGTAAAGGAAGATTAAACTGTATAATCCTACAGAGATTGATCAGAGAAAGTATCATTCTATACTGTGTAAATTGGCCAATAAGCTGTGAGATTTGATAGTAACATTTATATATTCAGGAAACGTGTGAATGATTACTTCTTTTTATAGTGTGTATTTATATTATGCAGTTGCTTTTACTTAAAATGAGTCTATCCAAAGAAATCTTAAGAAAGCTACACAACTGTACTGTACTTACACTCTTCCCCATCGGTTAGGACTAATGCCTGGAGAATATCTGAAAGGGAGACTATTCCCTTCACCACTTCCTGCTCGTCCACCACCACCAGTCTGTGCACCTGAGGGAAACACCACAATCAACGTCACTCTCACCTCTGGAAAACTGTATTTCTACAATGGCCAGAAGAATTTATACAGAAACTGATAGAGGACATGCCAGGTGTCAGTAGTTGTGTTGATAACAAAGTGTCTTCAAGTGTTTTGTTTGAGTTTCTACTTAATGCAAAATCAGAGAAAAGCTACTTGTAGCCTAAGGTACTATCACATGTGTTTAGTCCCCCACTTAGTACTTTCATTTTAAAACAAATGGAGGAACATTTCTGACACGGTTTATCACAGGGCATTTAAACTCTGGACAGTTATAGCAAAAAGCAACAGGGCCATCAGCCACAAGGCTACTCTGTGACACATGATGAAATCCAACGCTCACCTCGGCCTCCACCAGTCTGTTGATGATGGCCTCCAGGGTCTCGTGCCTGTTGCAGGTCAGCACTCCTTCAAAGTACTGAGAACGGTGCTGCAAGGCTTTTGTCACCGTCAGGTCCAGGTTGTTGTACGTCTTCTCTGCTGCCAGATTCTGCAGCAACACAGGTCTTTCAGTTAAATATGTTACGTTTCACAAAAAAGTTTGAAAGAAATACAGTGGCAGTTTTAGCCTCGTGTTTCAAAATCCTTGTATATATATTCACATCTCAAGTAAGCCGGAGTAATATGAAGAAATCCTCTAAAATACTATATGAAATATTTCTAAAATTAATTTGTAAACTGAACATTTTGGACTGTTGGGCAAATCAAGCAAACATTTGTATGCATTAATCTGGGCATTTGGAAATTATTCAAGCATCTTTGTGTATGTAAAATAAAAAACATGATAAAAGATTAATAACAACTTACTATAACATCAAATTTTGAGTATATATCCACCACATGACCTGCAGGAGAAGCACCATATTAGTTCACAAACAAACACAATTAAGAGGTCTTTGTCATTGATGCAAAACCAACCAGGGTGTCATTTCAAACGGCCCTCATACCTTTTTCATCCACGACGGGGAGCGCCGACACTCGCTGTTCAACAAAAATACCCAGCGCCGTGTACAGCGGTGTGTCTGTGCGGACCACTGCTATGTTTTTGAACGTTCCGATGTTCAGGTCCTCTAAGGTTTGTCCCAGGAAAGAGGGTTTTGGCATCTCTGATATCTGGAAACAATAACAAGAGATTGTGTACGCTTTAACAAAACTGAGGGAGATTGGATGTCTATGTAAATATTGTTAGAATTATAACTTTTTCCTTAACTGTAGCAAATAGTCAGGCTTGGAATTGTGTGTGTGTGTGTGTGTGCGTGCGTGCGTGCGTGCGTGCGTGTGTGTGTGTGTGAGAGTCTCTTTAATCAACTCCTCACAGAGCTCTGGTCAGAAACTGGAAAAAAGTTAAACATGTACAAACCACAGACTGTCATGGCGAATACAATCGCTGCTTTAATTCTGTCTTTAGGATGTTGTTGTGAGTTTGGACGGAGCAGCTACAGGTTAGTTTAGCCTGATTGATCCATTCAGAAAACAGACTTGGTATGTAGTTACTTCAGCATAATTTTGAAATGTGTATTACAATTGAATCACTGTAAAATAGGTTAATGTTGTCGTAGTTGGTTTCCCCCACAGTATTTACATGGATATAAGCCCCGCCCCCTCTCCAGCGCGTCTTGTTTGAATGACTGGAGTAAACAGCAATGAGAATATTCGCATCGCGTGCGTTGTGAACGCAGCATAACGCAGTTCAGAAAACACTGTTCTGACGCTTTTAAAGCAACTTCGAGATTTTAGCAGTGTGAGGGGCACACAGGCCATGGTGGCCGTAGGACGTACAATTATCTTTGGGGCATAACGGCCAGACCGAGGAGCTACGACGGCCATGGCCGTCATGGCCGCCGTGATAATCCT